TTGTGCACAAAGCTTCAAAACTACAGCACATTTTGTAAATAACATGAAATATAAATATCAAACAAAATTCGAATTATAAGTAGTAGGCTAATACTTTTGAAATTCAATACAACGAAGTAGCAACCATTGTGAAGTACGCATACCATTGTGAAGTACGCATACGGTTCAACATGACATTCAACATGACATTTGATGCAGTGTTAAAGTTAACTTTTATCAATCACTCAAACGTCAAAATGATAAATAATCATTTTCAATCTATTATAGTAATTCACCGTTTCCACAGGTTTTTATACCTTTAATTTAAAACGTTACAATAAAGCTAAATTGTAAAGGAAATCTAACAGTCAATCGCTTTCGATAAAACCTTGACCCACTTTGACCTTGTTAATGTTATTATTACCGTCGTTTGCAACTAACTATTAACGGTCGCTTATAAAAACATTGCCTGTTCGCGTGTTTCTGCTGGAGTCTGCACCGTTGGCTAATTCACGTGAGAATCTTAAGTTTTCTTATTTTGACATAATAGCTATTTAGCTATTTTTCAATAAATATATTGATGTTAAACTATTGATGTTAAACTTATTGAATCAATACTTTAAGTTTAACACCAGCGCTATAGCGCATCATAAGCGCTATAGCGCATCATATGTTTCAGCAACCTGATACTCAGGGTTTTCACTTATAGCGGAAGTAAAAACCCTGAGTGGAGGTAAAAACCCTGAGTATCAGGTTGAAGTTTCAGATAGCCTGAATACAGACCTTCATTTTGCTTGCCCTAAAATGTGTGGGTGGGAGGCGCAAAATAAAGGTCTGATGAAAATTATGTCAAAATGCTCTACCGCCCACTTTGCATTTTGCAATAATTAACGATGATGATTGACATATTTACATGTAACACCTGAAAATACAACGAAAGTTGTCGATTCACTTATTGAAAGTTTGTAAACAAAGTAAGAGTCTGTACTACAGATGTTTGAATAAATATTAAAAATATTGGTAACCCCATGCAGTATGTTGCATTTATGTACCCTTACCCCTTGCACTCAAACAGTTAAGCTAGTAATAATACAACATTTTCAACACATTCTATAAATGCAATAAAATCTGCGTACGCAAATTTGGCAATGGCCATGTCCCATAGTTGAATTGCATCCAAACAGGACCGAACTCTTACAATTTATACATTTTGACACCGCTATACAATGCTAAAATCTAAATAAAATATTTTGTACGTGCTATGTTACCGAAATGCAAATTTAAACGCACTGTTGCACTGACACATAGGCCTATGTGTATAATTGTATCAGTTTTATTATGATTATCACAAAACGTAAATAGTGTAAAAATTATTGTATTATTGGCCTATATTACAACGGAATGACACAACGCTGAAGCATTTGACAAGTCTGCTCTCGCTCTAGTTTTAATTTTAGACGGTAGATACTGTTAGCTATTTATCGTTCGGCTTCACAAAATATTTAGAATATTACACTATATGCATAGTATATGCGTTGAGAATACCGTTGAAATATATTCTGATATTTTCAAATCTTTTCATGTTTAGCGACCAACCAATCACCACCCATTTCCCTGTGAATTAGCCAATCAGCTATTCCGACCACCAGGCGGTCAGATTTCACAGCGTTTTGACATGATTTTCATCAGACCTTCGTTTTGCACCTCCCACCCGCGAATTTTAGGGCGAGCTAAACGAAGGTCTGTATTCAGGCTAAGTTTCAGATGGCATGCAGCATGTACGCACTGCATACCTATTTTTGTGACATAAAACTGACATTTGAAGTAAGAGTATTTTTCAGGGAGGTTGCATAATTTTGAAAATGGGTGTATCAAAATCTGTTCACCCACGAAACTAGCGCAAGAATTGCAATTTCTTAAGAAAATTGCATCATGGAATGGGTATCCTAAACATGTTGTCTTTTAACTCATAAAACACTTTAACCAAAACACAACAAACGACCAAGACAACAACACGACAGAATTGAACGAAACTAGACCTATGCTTTGGCTAGAAATGCCATACATTGCGACAAAAGGCGAACAACTTTTACGTGCACTCAAGAGGAAACTATTATGTTGTCTCAACATTACGAACATGCAGATTAGGACAAGAGTAACAACAACTAAACTAAACTTGTTTACGAATGCAAAAGACAAAGTACCTAAACAAAACGTAAATCAAGCCTTAATAATGGACTAAAAGCTGGTAGAGAACTACAGTTATTTAATTAACATGCGCTGAATGAAAGAACTACGTGAACTGCTTCATCACGAATAAACAGTGTTGATTGCTTACACACTTTTGCATACGCTAGCTTGTTTAAAATTGCTGACACTTGTAATATATTAAACGACATATCTTGCAAAACACTGCTGAAGATGAATCTGATTTAGATTCGAAAATACAGTTTTAATAAATTGTGTGTTAATATTATGCACTCCTTATTCAGAATAACTTTTGTTTTATTTCTCTGAGCTGGATTTGTAGATTTTATTCCTTGTTTATGCGCTTTTATAAATGAAGGGGAATACAAAGAAATACCAACATGCGATCGTTGGAATTTCGTTCAAAACCAAATACAATATAAACAAAAGCCACACATACCTTTTCACTCAATGAATATCTTTAATACCTCCTTGAAGTCTGTATAAAATCCCTTGGAAATGCTTTGTAATGAAATACTTGGAAAGTGAAATAAAAACTACAACAAAGCACTATATTTCTTGAAACAAATGCCTTGCTTTTATATAGTAATTATCAGGTTCAGATCAATTGAAATACAGCCACAGATTGGTCGAAATAATCTAGGATCATGTTACTGATTGGTCTGAAATTTTAGGCCGGACGTCTGCGACGATAGGACTTTCAGCTTTCTTATTGGTAGTTAATCAGCAAAGTGATCTCTTAAATGAAGAAGCTCGATGTTATGCAATATTTATCCAGGGATGCCTATAATCGTTTATAATCAGTAAAAAGTACTGTCACCAACCCTAATTAATTTTGTGACCATGCATCTTCTGAGGGAAATGTACAGAGCTAGCTGTCTATACTCTGTAAGTGTGATCCACAAAACCTTTCCTAGTTTCACGCAACAGCGCAAATATTAGCTTATATTAATTTAATCATTTATTTGTTCGACCATGGGCAGGGCGCTCTAAACAAAAGACAAATTACTGTCGAAACATTGTTGATTTTTGCGACGGCGATAAAATATTGACAAATTGACGTAGATACAATTGTTTTTTTCGCCGTCAATAAAACACTGACAAACTGACGTCAATAGAACGTTGTTTTCGCAACGTCAATATAAAACATTGACAAACAGATTTCGAAGTGACGTAGTTTTTTGCGACGTGGATAAAACATTGGCATAATGATGTTGATAAAACATTGTCAAACAGACGTCTCTTCGACGTCGTTTTTTGCTACGTGGATAAAACATTGGCATGTTGACGTTGAAACAACATTGTTTTCGCAACGTTGTTAAAACATTGACAAAATGATGTTGAAACGATGTTGATACGATGTTGATAACTCTTCGGTCGATGTTTCGACTGAATGTCGATGTCGAAACGACGTTGTGTGCCAGCTGGGGAAGTTCTCAGCTAATGTCATCTACATAACCTAGAGAAAGTTCTATAAATAAAACTAATTAAAACATATTACATGTACATGTACCAGCATTTATACAAGGATTCATAACACTTTACATACCATATGTTGCTGGGACAGCAATCTCTCAGACCATTTCCTCCCCTAATTTAAACTTTGGGTAGGTTACCTGTATATATGGAGTCCGCATATTAGCGGTCTTTGTCTCTCTATGGACTTTCTCATTAAAGTGCAGGCATGCTAGGATGTGTCTAAAGGTAAACAATGACCAATCCATTATGTTGAACATACTAATGAGATGTAAGTTTCATTACTGGCTTGCAGTACCGACCTGCAGTATGTCCCTGACCAAGAAAAGCATATCACTTTGGGATGCCAATAATTTAGTACTGAATGGAATCCTTCCAAGGAGCTGGTTTGGACCACAAGTGAAAGCTTCTTGATATCTTTGACCAGGGTTGTCTTTGTTAGGATATTTTTGAGTTTTTGATAGGGTTTGATCCTTGAAAATTGGGCATTAAGACATTGATACTTGACTGATAAGACGCGACCAGTGAATCTAGTGAATAAGGAATAAATTGCGCGCGAACATGATAGAGAGAGCATGTGTCAGCAAACTCAAAACATTGTCATATATATATATATATATATATATAGGTTAATCACTAGGCGAAAAGCCATAAATGTATATAAGTTAATCAACTCAACACATAACGTTTCGACTTTATTGTCTTCATCAAATATAATCCTACTTTACAGGAGAACCCAATTTATACCCTCCCAATTTTGCTAATTATGCATAATATGAATATAAGTTGATTTACCATACAAATAACAATATCCTGTTAACTATAATTAACATTGCAACGCATTCTCTATGTTCAATCCCGAAGGATGCATTGTCTTTAGTTTGCTTATCCAAAATGCCTCACGTCTGGTCGGTTCCACTGGGTCAGTTTTATCAATTAAAACAATCTCGCAATCAGTAATCAATCCATTATGTCCATTACCCAAGAAATGTTGATGGAAAAACATTTGTGTATAGGCCTCGTTATTAACTGCCTTTTTGTGGCAGGCTTTATAATTATTCCAACGGTACCTAAATTTATCTGTTGTTTGGCCAACATATTGTTTTTTACAGACTTTACAAGTAAGAAGATAAACCAGCGAGTAGTACATTTCGAGTCGCAATTCAACCTATGGTTCACTTTGTACTGTTTACCATCTGTTGAACACTCAAAGCTGTCGGTTTCTCGAATATTATTGCACGTTAAACATAGTGCTTTCTTACATTTCTTACACCCTTTTTCCCTCACTAACCTGTTCCTTTGACTTTCCAGGCGACTTGACGACTGAATCTGAAAACATGTTGGATTCAAATGATGAATTATATATGGAACAAACATCGAGCAGCACATCGACAACAACAGGTTAGAAGTATTTAAGCTTGGTTTCTATTTAGCAGTTACCTGTTTCACTTTCTGTCGCTACCACGACAAGTGGTAGATGGGAAATTGTCTTAACTACTAACAATTGTCTTAACTATTTTACATTGCATTCTACACTTAAGTACATCTAGTGTCGTTTTATTAAGTGGCTGTTCATACAGAAGCCGGACTTACCCAGTATGAATTTCTCTTGTGTTTATACGAGAAAATTTCTCTTGTGTTTATATGAGAAAATTTCATCCCACTTGCCGGGACAATTTGTTGTTTTGACAGATGAACTGTTAAAAATATCTCACTGTGGCAACTTTCACCGGGCCAGCCAGCTTGCCCCTAAGTAGGTAAATATCTGTGGAGATATCACACACATTATGCTTCTATCAAGTAATGTATTAAACTTTTCAAGTGGACTGGATTTTGGAGGAATTGAAATTATTCTCTGAACCAGTTTTTGCTGGCCTTTATAAGGGTCTCACTTGTTTTTCAAAAGCTAAAATATGTTATTTTTTCTAGAGAGTCTCAATAACTGTATAGAGGCATGTGAGCAAATAACTGAAGAAATTAAATCAAGCAGTCGGTCCGAATGGACAAAAAGAATGATGTCGATAGAGGAAAACTGGGAAAGTAGCAGATCAGCCATATTCAATGCTCTACTCAATAGCCATGCTGTACCTTCACCAGAGAACATCTGCTTTTCATGCAATGAAGGATGTGCAGTAGTAAGATGCCATGAATGTGGATCAAGGGTGTTGTTATGTTCTGCCTGTGATGAGAAGATTCATGAAACAAATCCCTTGCATGACCGTGATGTATGGGTGAATGGATTTTTTCAGGAAGTGCCTCCTACAACGATAGTTTCAGAAGATGGTTCCTTGGGATTTGTTAGTAAGTCACACTGAATTATTGTCTACAGAATCATTTATTTAATGCTCAACAATTTCAAGATAAGTACTGTAAATTAATTTGGAATTATCAGACAAAGAAAAATAGAAAAGAAGGTGGGCATTGTAGGGCACATTGCTGTTTATAGTAATAATTGGGTATCTAATTTATATTTTAATTCAATAATTGACTACTCTGAATGTGATTAATGTCCATTGTGCCCCAATGGGCGTAACTTTAGCATTTTAGTCTGTCTAAAGCCAGGTGATCTTATCAAGCTGACATTATATTGCCAATAGACCTTAGAGGTACTGTACATACGTCACGGCAGTGCCAAACAATAAAATCCAGTGCAATGTAGGAAACATGTAGGAAGCAACATCGCAATGTTTCTATGGATTGACCGTATGACATAAGCACCTCTAAGGTCTGTTAGAAAGTACATCCTATTAAAAAGTACATTTCATGTGCTGTGTGCAATTTGCCCCTATCTGTGACTGAATTTTTCATTTGCAATCATTTGTTCAATTTATCTCAACAGAGAGATGTGCACCATTTGCTTTATGTAAGGCATGCTTGCTGTGTAAAGAGCAAGGCTCACTGATTCTGGTTCCCTTGGATGAACCTTGCATTGTTGTGACTTCTAGAGGTAAAATAAAATGTTTGATTTATTAATTATTTTTAAAAATAAATTAACCCACAGTAGTACTGACAGTAGTAAGACAATATACATCAATAGACAGTTGTGTATTTATCAAATTCATTCTGGAAATATGCAAAAGGACTGAATATGCAAAGGAATACATTCAGTGTTCTTTGAATATATACACTGAAATGAGGTATTGAATGTTTTAACCAATTGTTTCATGGCATAGCAAAAATTACATTGTTGTATTAAAGATGCGAGAACTGTTAGCCTATAGTATTTACAGCATGTATCTATTACAGTATAATATCTTAGCCTGGCCTGGCGTGTGGGATATTGCACACCATATTAACATCAGACACACATTTGCAAAACAGTCAAAAGTCGTAATTACCAAAGCAAAGAACTAAAGTACTGAACTAAAAACAAACTGGTTTGGTTGTTGGTGTTTCACATGGAAGAGGAATTGGACAAAATAAAGTCACTTAGAGGCAAACTTTAAGTGCGCGATTTCATACTTGAAAAATGCACATTCCAAAATGCAACTTTTGATCATAAAGGCTGTTTTCCACCAGGCGGAAATTTTTCACGCGTAGCGGAATGTCTCTTTGTCTTTTCTAATTAGTTCCACCCGAGAAATCACAAGACAAAGAAAAATTCCACTTTGTGCAGAAAATCCCGCCTGGTGGAAAACTGCCTTAAATCTAGGCGCACATGCGCAATTGCTCACCTCAAACGGCCAGACCTGAATTATATTCATTAACGTGTATTGTTTTTTCTCTTTTAATTTTAGGACGATATGACTTGTCACTTTGTATGTATCGATGTGGTAACTGTGACAAGGCATATTCACCTTTATCATTGGAAAAGATCATCAGTGAGGGTTATTGGCCTGGAAATCCAAAGCATTTCAATCATGTCTTCTCACAAGATCTGTTTCGGCTTTGGGATTCTGTGAGAAAACATATGCCTGGAACATCTGAAACAGCATTCATCAGATCCCTAGGGAATCTTTCAAGCAACAATGGAAGGGTATGTTTAACTGGTTTCTATTTTACTATCTGAAAAGTTACACTTTTTTGAGAAATCAGTGCTTGATTAAATTGTACATGTTACATGTAGTTGAACACAGAAGTTGCTAACAGTGCAGTGACAGTTTTCATTGTGAAATGAAAGTTCCATTGGAAGCTGGGGGGGGGGGCCATACCATTGGAAGCTGGGGGGGGGCTCAAGCCAAGTAATTCAGATTTATCCAAGAAAGTGAAGAAACATCAGGGGCATAGTGAGGGGGTATTTGGAAAACGTTACAAGCCTATTCGGAAAATTCGGGCCATTTTGGGAAATTTACGAAAATGTTACCAAAAAGTGTAACGAATGGGGGGTTATGCTCTCGATCCTCGTTGATTGAGCCCTCTCCAATATTGATTTACTTCAGGCGGCCTTGGATTATTCACTCACGATTTCTATTTGGTGATAGTTGAGGGCAAAACCTGAATCAACTATTACCTCATAGAAATCGAAAAATAATTGTTTTATAAACACCTGAAAGAAAACAACATTCCAAAAGGTTTTTAATAATTTATTTATTTATGCAAATACCAAAAATCATGCTGATTGTAAAATATTACTGTTGCACTTATTCGGGGGGGGGGCTCAAACGAGTAGATACGGTTCTGTATTGTAACTAAATGTAAATCTTTTTTAATTTGTTCTAGTCATCTACTATCAATGTCACAGTATTCCATCGTGCATTTAAGGAATGGTGTTTTGCCATGCATGAGATTGATGTTTTACAAGGGAGAAACTGGATGGAATGCCCTTGTTGCTATAAGGACCAACATTCTTGTCATGTGGATGGTAATGCGAAACTATACAGATATAGTTGTGTTCCAAGGTACAATATTAATTTACTCATTTTCACAATTTTTCCTCTTGTATTATACTACTGTAACTGTATAAAATTGAAGTTTGATTTTTCCTAAGAAATTGTGCATGCATGATTAGACTTTACACAATCAATTTTTAAATATACAGGTAAAGAGGTATAGAAATTGTTATTGATCCGTATAGTGATTGATCTGTATATATATTAATTTGTTTTAACTATATTTGCTGAAGCTATCAGCCTGTATATTCTGAATATCATATTTATCACTTATTTACTGAGACCGAGGGAAACAGTGTGTTTTGTGGACCCGAGACCGCCGTTGTTGCCCGAGGCGAAGCAGAGGGCAACAATGGCGGTTGAGGGGCCACAAAACACACTGCTTTCCCGAGGTCTCAGTAAATACAGTAAGTGTTTTGTTATATGGTATATAAGTGTCAAAGTATGAATAATTCACCGGTTATTGGATTGAACTTAATTTGAAACCAAAACTGGATAAATGGAATGCCGTAAATGTTTAGTAAAAAGTTTTAAAAATGAACTTTGGAACTTCATGGTTGACACGCATGTGTATTGCACCCATTTTATTCTTGACCGGTCAATAAATGTTTGATTGCCGACCGGTTGCCGAACACGTTTTGTGGGCCGGCACGTGACACGGTTTTGACCAATCGGCGAACAGAAAAATTGAACTTTGACACTAACTATATAACAAGTTACATTATATACTTGAACAACTGAATATAGGCTATGATGTATCAAAGCTAGCCCATTGCCTGTTTCATGGAATACTATTTTCAGATAGTTCTACCTAAAATGTAGAAGTATGTGAATCATATTTTATTTAATGTGACGAGACACTCTTACTACTTTCCTATTTTTGCAGAGGTGAGCGAAAATGTTATTACGGTAACCTTTTTGTGGAGGAAAAAGATGCTGTTGATGCTCATCTGGATACTGTTTATGCATCAGCTTCGTCAAAGGTTACATTACAGTATATGGTTCTTTTACAGTATATATTATAATCACAACACATTGTGTGAATACGAGCCAACTACTTGTAAACGTTTGTGAAAACGTTTGTAAATCAGGGTTCTCCTTATCAGGCGGTAACCGGTAAAATTTACCGTTTCCACGAGCACTGATTACCGCCTGGAGAAGCCCAAGTTAAATATACGTTTGTGTACATTTGTAAATAATAATTAGTAATAAGGTGTGAGAAAATCCTTTATATAATAACTACAGTGAAACACGCAATTTTATTGGTCAATAGTCGTGCAGGATCAGGCTATCCTGCACGAGGAATTATAATGCCTTCGTGGGATTTTCAAAATGTCATAGTTTCACTGCAGTTATTTTATAAAACAATTACCAAATGGTTTTCCAAGCAGGATAGCGTGATCCATGCACTTGGGATGTTGCTCAACTTTCGGAAAAGTGTGAAAATACACTCGCCTGCAGCTCGAGTACTTTTACACTTTCCGAAAGTCTCGCGACATCCCTCGTGCATGGATCACGCAATCCTGCACGGAAAACCATTCGGTATTCCTTTAATAATCAATCAATCAAGTATTGCTGAAATTCCACAATATCATTTATTTAGCATCGATAGATTGAATATAGAAATATCCTATAAACCCGATCTGTGAACAAAATTTTTTGGCGGAATGATTATATTATCAACCCAGCGTGGGCCTGGGGACTGAGTAATTAAATTGGCGTGTGTTTAGAATATAATCTTTAGTATTCTATAAAAGTTTAAATCTTCCCTCAAAATGCAGGAAATGCCATTTCAGATTTCAAAATTTTCCGTTGGTATACCCCAGACCCCCTAGAGGTTTGTATAGGTGCGACTTGATGCTTATACCTGTTGAAAAACCTGTTTTACCTGTTGCGCTCACAACTATGGAGAACCCTGTTGTTTTTGACATTTCTCTTCCAGAAAAATACCAGTAATTCGTATTGTGGTACATCAAATTGGAAAGCAGCCAGAAATACTGCAAATGTGCGATCAAAGTTGGATGAAACTGGGCTTGAAGTAGCTGGCTGCAGACATGCTCTTGCACAAAGTGCTCTTAATATGTACCAAGGAGAATTATTTGGGTACACACATTATTTGCAGATTAATAGATTGGTTCCTCAAGGTGTCATGTTCTTATGGCAGGATGTTGTGTGCAAGTATTGGCCATGGTTTATGTCACTTCCCAAAGAACTCTCTCCCCAAGAGACCTTCCTTATGAAACCTGCGCTTTCTATTATGCATGGAAAAGCGCATATTTGGTCTTGTCAGGTAATTAGTGTACAATATCATGGTGTTAGCCAGAAAAAAAAGTTTTGTCCGTTAATCGTAAATTGGGAAGGTTTTTTGACCGATCAAAGTCCTTGTGTAGGAATAAATAGTGTTTTTTTTCCAACGTGTTTCTCCTTGCAAACAACGGTAGCTTGGTTTTGTACATTTCATTTCCGGTGAATGAACACGGATGCACACCGATTACACTCTGTTTTGTACATTTCATTTCAGTGAATACACACCCAATATGAATGAAACGCGATACATTTTGAGAAAATAGTTAATGGGAAAAAGTAAATAAAACGTTCTTTGATATAATAACATAGAATCAAACGCATTGCACTTTCTCATCAGAAAAAATGAAAATCTTCCAGTAGACCCAGTTAGGAAAGCCCCTTAGCTGTACTTCAATTGGGAAGAGTTCATCAAACGGACAGTATATGGGCTAGCTAACACCCTGAATATTGTGAACATTCTGCATGATAGCCTAAAATTTAAGTGTAAATTTGTACGTCTCACCAGTGTTGGAACAAATACGAAAAGGAAACTAACTGTTATTTAAATATTTGATCTTTGTCTTTTACCATTAAATAAAGTAAACCATTAAATAATATTGTATTTTTTTTAAGGTGACTTGGGGTGGGCGTTGGCAGCAAGGTAGCGCATACACGACTGGTGAGGAAGTGGAGCAAATAAACAGCTACATATCGAGATTGGGGTCAACAACAAAGTATATGAATGCTGGAGGTAAGATACTGTATCTTGCTGTACAAATGTAGATATCTTCAGTTGTTTCTTTTCTTATAAAGAAACTTTCTTTTTAGTATGAGTGACACTTTGGAATCATTATATTGACTAAGATGATTTTATTTTGTAGGTCGTGACGAAACTATAACGGAACATGTAATGCACTGGAACAAACAGAAAGTTATGAAGCTCCACATAAGTCTGTCCAAACGATATATTGAGGTACAATATTTGGAGTTATCTTTAAGGACGGTTTTTTACAATTTCATTGATTTCTGAACTTTTTCCTTTTTATTTAACTGACAATTATTAGATTAAAAGAATGATGGAATCAAATGAGGAGGAATTGAAGAATGAGATGAATGCGATTGGTTGTCATGACCAGATAGAAAGTGGGGAGTTGGAAAACTGGAAAGAAGCAATAGCCATATGTGGAAAACGTATGTAGTAAATAAATTTGTTAAATTGTTATTACTATATATGTATCCATCGTTTACATTGTATTAACTTCCTAGTTACTTTTCTTCCCTAGCCCTAAGACCATTTGATTCTTTTCCCCCACCCCAGGGGGGGGGGGTTATAGAAGAATATACAGCAGTGAATTGCATCGCCCATAGTGTATTTCTTAGCCATATAAATGCAGTGCTGTAGGTTGTTTTATTTTCAATACAGGTAGTCAGTTTGGAGAAGTCGTTTTAAGTAAAGAGGAAAATCAATTGGTTCAATATTATCAGCTTAATATTGAGATTTCTGAAGCCATTTCTCTGAAGCCGTTTGTGGAAGAAGCTCGTGATGGTGTTGGCGCAGCACTTGTCACTGGGAATGGTGAGCTGTTCAAGCAAGCACTGCAAAAGCAAGAGGAGATTGATCGTAAAAAACGGCAGTTGGTGAAGCTAGAATCTCTTTTGGATATTTGTGGATGTCAGACGAAACAAACAGAGGCTTTGGAAAGAGGAAAGCGACTATTGGCTTCTCAGAAACGCAAGGAAATTCGCGAAGATATCGAGATGATAAGTTTTTCAATTTCCCAGAGAGTGAAGAGTATTGGTCGATTAGCAGGTTAGATAATAATAATATTGTTAGGTAATATTGAACATTTTAGTTGTTTCACAATGGTGTACTTAAATGCGACCTTTAGTGATACGGTGTTCACCAAATATGCTATTTGTACACATGATCTATACGGATAGGGCGTCTTTGTTTATTAAGGGACTCTAGGAAGAATAATAAGTTTGGAAGTGACACTAGCCCGCGTGCAGGCCCAAGGGAACTGATAGTGGGCCTGCAAGCAAGGCTCGGTATTTTGTAAAACGCCCCTTTTCATAACACGCCCCATTCGCGCGTCAATTGTCAAAAAAGAACCAATGACAGCACCCAAATATTAACAAACAAACTCGCATTAAAATATTGCGGGGTTTTCTCTGCTTATTCAGAACAGAAACAATGTATAAATGGCTGCGTTTTAACTCGAAAAAAGCAAGCAACGCAGTCAGTAATTGCCAAATTTGCAAGTGCTCATTTTCAACTAAAATCGGAACAGGCAAATTAGGACGAATTTCAACAGAAAACCAGTCTCAAACTCCAAAATATCGTGAGGGAAGTCGTGCGACTACTGTACATAAATAGCATTTATAATGTGTGCTTCGCTGTCGCCATTGTTATAAATAAATTGTCTCACTTATCACTGATCGTGTGTGCAATTCTTGTTGGCGGCGGAAAGTACGAAATTTATTTCAGTTATTTCATTTGGTAAAGAACTCTACAAAAGAAGAGACCGTTCAGTGTCCAGATCGTTTCAAACGGCAATTTAATACCGTCTTCTGTTTCGCACTCTCAGCGAAGCCTTGTAAATCGCAAAGTGTTTCGAATAGGTTTACATGCAACTGCCTCTAAATCTTCACCGCGAAAAGCGCTGTTTTCTTCAGTGCAAGAACAGAGTCAACATCAACTAAATGATAATTTTCTTGAGGAACATATAATGTATCACTAAGTCTGTTTGAAATTAATGAAACTCAAGTAAAGGTTACTATAGTTTACCCCAGTCGTAAATCGTAATGTTGCTATTCCAACACCTCACGACAAGCAATCCTCATTGGCATAACGCAAAAAACATCTCTTCCTTCAAGTAAACAATAAACAGTCTGTTCTTGTTCCATTTATAATCGAAAAAAGCGATCAATTTTCGAATTTTAAGCTTATCGAGAGCCTTTGTGATGAATCACTGATCTAATTATAGAATCCAACAGCAAACAGCCAATCAGAATGCCGCGTTCGTGGGCGAACGCGGAAAGTACAAAATACAGGGCCTTGCTTGCAGGCCCACTATCAGTTCCCTTGGGCCTGCACGCGGGCTAAAGTGACACCTGCGTTATACAAAGTCAGTGCGATTTTTAGCTTCTTTATTTTCAGGAGATTTTCTCATTACTTGTCGAGCAGGTTAATGCGTCCTTTAATATCTTAACGGTAATTATAAATCATGTTCTCTTCGCAGATTCTTCTAAGCAGCGTTCAAGGCTACGCAGTAAGAATACTAGCGAAAGAAAGAAATTGGAAGATCTAATCGCGCAGCTAAATACGGTAGAGAATATGCTTGGTGGAACTGAAGATGTTCTTACTTCTGTTCAGGCTGTTAATGGTCATTTTCCATGGATTAACGAAGAAGATAGTAGTGGTAATTTACCATGTACTGCATTTGGATTTAGTGTTACTGGAATTTTTATTTTACATTAAAGATTATACTCGGCAACCTTAAAGTCCAGACACACCCGACACGATTCGATAACGCGACGTGATTTTTCGATTTTCACTGACCGATAACTTTGATCATAGTTTAAACTTTCCAAATATTTAGAAGCGTTATAACATTTTGAGTTATTTGGTCTACATATCTTTTAAAATTTGCTCTCATTAGCTGTTTTACTTTCAAGGGTTAAACAATCACGTCGCGTTGTCAAATCGCGTCCGTTGTGCCTGGACCTTTACAAGAAATTTTTAATTCTGGCAATGTATTTTTCGTTTTTAGCAAAAGGTGCCCGCACTAGTTATAGCCTTAATTGATTACTTCCACTAATAAACTAACAATATATTAATTATTATATACAAAATTGTATTAACATATCTAGTAATCGATTGCTTTTATTACAGGTATAGTGGCGTTGCGGGCAAAGAGAAGGGCTGTGGAGATTTTCCTGACTGGTAAACGTCTCAAAGAGGAAATTTCACTTCTGGAACAGGAAATGGTTCGATTTCTCTGTTATTACAGAGATAAAATCATTCCAGATCTTTCCTCACGCTTAAGTTCGTTAGAAGAAGGTATTTATCGGCACGAAATGTAAGTAGACTGCCAGGAGAGTTCTTATTAATTTTTACATTTTTTAATGTTAAGATTTCTTGCCAGAAGACGATTCCATCTTGTACGAGACCGATAATGGACCATCTGATGAGGTACTGTAAAATAAGGTTGGGCACTTACATGATCAACTATCTACTGTACGTATTTTTCGCCTTCAATTTTTTTGCTCTTTATCTATTTTTGTTCTTGTATTTGTTCTCGAAGTCTTTCACGTTGCCTTATGGGCTGATGTTGTTGTTGTTGATGTTGTCGTAATCGTCTTCGTCGTTGTTGTTCGTGTTTTTTTATTAATTGTATTTATTTTCATTCAATGTTTTCATGCTTTATATAGGGAAAATACAAGGCGACACGGTCCAGCCAACAGTCGTTAGATGGAGAAAAAGCTCTTTTGAAAGGGGGTATTTATTTCAGCAAAACCCGGTTGAAAGAAGGTGCAATTGTCTTCAAACACATTGCCGAAGGAACAATTCAAGAGCTACTTCTTGACGAGGATTTCACCGACGAAGTTGATCATATGTTTGATGAGGGCGAAGACGAAATTGAGGAGGAAGAAGATGAAATTGAGGAGGAAGAACATGAAATTGAGGAGGAAGAAGATGAGGAGGCGGACGAGGAGAATTGAACAGTAGCCTAAATCCAGCGACAATGAGTGGGTGGCACCCCATGATACCCCTGCCTTTGAGCAGCTAATACGGGAGAAATCTTCTCGGGGGACTGGAAGCCTTGGTCTAAACACGCATTTGCTGCGGTGTGATTCACTTTTTAGCATTTAATTAAGTAATTAAGTAACTTTGTACCCCCTCATTTTGTATACAGTAGTTCAATTTCCTAGTATAATGGTTTTTAATGTAGTGTATTTTATTGCTGAACTGTTAATAAGAAGATTAAAAACAAAAATATTAGAAATTATTTGAAGTTCTGTGTTTCCATGTTGTTCCCTCCCCTCCCACGTTATTAAGTTCTCACTCGTTCCCGTTTGTCGTCACCTGTCTTAAACCTGTTTTCCACTTCAACCGTATCGTACCGAAACATAGCGTATTTCTCTGTTTCCTGAGCGGTAGTGTGGAACTAATGACTTCGACACAAAAGAAAATGGTACGGTACGTTTTGGTACGATTGAAGTGGAAAACAGGCTTAACACATGTTAGTACCGTATCTAGTACCACTTAGTTATAGTGCACGGAGCTGTTAACCAATTGGGATATATTCAGTGTACGCATGAACTTCAAGCCAGGTTTGGGGACGTATTAGTGAACGCTTCAGGTAAGTACGTAGCGTAAACTTCCCTGTGCATACAAGTTGACTTGTAGATGGGGATGGAGGAGGTTCCATTGGTTGAGGAAGTACAGTATCTATGATTCTTCGCCTGGTTATGGGGGTAAGACGATCCAGTCCCACCATAACCAGGAACCTAATCCATCCCCACCGATAGGCAGCGGGCATAATTAAAGTAATTGCTAATAGGTATATAAGGATAAGGCTTTTAACTGGTGTAAAATGTTGTAGTCGTATGGAATAATGCTAAATATGACCCCAATTTTAATAAAATATCGGTATTTTAAAGAACTTTTCTTATTTTGGGGTGATTTTTGCGGGTACCTGGTGTAAAATGTTGTAGTCATATGGAATAATGCTAAATATGACCCCAATTTTAATAAAATATCGGTATTTTAAAGAACTTTTCTTATTTTGGGTTATTTTTGGGGGTACCTGGTGTAAAATGTTGTAGTCATATGGAATAATGCTAAATATGACCCCAATTTTAATAAAATATCGGTATTTCAAAGAAGTTTTCTTATTTTGGGGTTATTTTTGGGGGTACCTGGTGTAAAATGTTGTAGTCGTATGGAATAATGCTAAATATGACCCCAATTTTAATAAAATATCGGTATTTTAAAGAACTTTTCTTATTTTGGGGTGATTTTTGCGGGTACCTGGTGTACAATGTTGTAGTCCTATGGAATAATGCTAAATATGACCCCAATTTTAATAAAATATCGGTATTTTAAAGAACTTTTCTTATTTTGGGGTTATTTTTGGGGGTACCTGGTGTAAAATGTTGTAGTCATATGGAATAATGCTAAATATGACCCCAATTTTAATAAAATATCGGTATTTCAAAGAAGTTTTCTTATTTTGGGGTTATTTTTGGGGGTACCTGGTGTAAAATGTTGTAGTCGTATGGAATAATGCTAAATATGACCCCAATTTTAATAAAATATCGGTATTTTAAAGAACTTTTCTTATTTTGGGGTGATTTTTGCGGCTACCTGGTGTACAATGTTGTAGTCCTATGGAATAATGCTAAATATGACCCCAATTTTAATAAAATATCGGTATTTCAAAGAAGTTTTCTTATTTTGGGGTTATTTTTGGGGGTACCTGGTGTAAAATGTTGTAGTCATATGGAATAATGCTAAATATGACCCCAATTTTAATAAAATATCGGTATTTTAAAGAAGTTTTCTTATTTTGGGGTTATTTTTGGGGGTACCTGGTGTAAAATGTTGTAGTCGTATGGAATAATGCTAAATATGACCCCAATTTTAATAAAATATCGGTATTTCAAAGAAGTTTTCTTATTTTGGGGTTATTTTTGGTGGTACCTGGTGCAAAATGTTGTAGTCATATGGAATAATGCTAAATATGACCCCAATTTTAATAAAATATCGGTATTTTAAAGAAGTTTTCTTATTTTGGGGTTATTTTTGGGAGTACCTGGTGTAAAATGTTGTAGTCGTATGGAATAATGCTAAATATGACCCCAATTTTAATAAAATATCGGTATTTCAAAGAAGTTTTCTTATTTTGGGGTGATTTTTGCGGGTACCTGGTGTAAAATGTTGTAGTCATATGGAATAATGCTAAATATGACCCCAATTTTAATAAAATATCGGTATTTTAAAGAAATTTTCTTATTTTGGGGTTATTTTTGGGGGTACCTGGTGTAAAATGTTGTAGTCATATGGAATAATGCTAAATATGACCCCAATTTTAATAAAATATCGGTATTTTAAAGAACTTTTCTTATTTTGGGGTTATTTTTGGGGGTACCTGGTGTAAAATGTTGTAGTCCTATGGAATAATGCTAAATATGACCCCAATTTTAATAAAATATCGGTATTTTAAAGAACTTTTCTTATTTTGGGGTTATTTTTGGGGGTACCTGGTGTAAAATGTTGTAGTCATATGGAATAATGCTAAATATGACCCCAATTTTAATAAAATATCGGTATTTCAAAGAAGTTTTCTTATTTTGGGGTTATTTTTGGGAGTACCTGGTGTAAAATGTTGTAGTCATATGGAATAATGCTAAATATGACCCCAATTTTAATAAAATATCGGTATTTCAAAGAAGTTTTCTTATTTTGGGGTTATTTTTGGGGTACCTGGTGTAAAATGTTGTAGTCATATGGAATAATGCTAAATATGACCCCAATTTTAATAAAATATCGGTATTTCAAAGAAGTTTTCTTATTTTGGGGTTATTTTTGGGAGTACCTGGTGTAAAATGTTGTAGTCGTATGGAATAATGCTAAATATGACCCCAATTTTAATAAAATATCGGTATTTTAAAGAAATTTTCTTATTTTGGGGTTATTTTTGGGAGTACCTGGTGTAAATGGAATAATGCTAAATATGACCCCAATTTTAATAAAATATCGGTATTTCAAAGAAGGTTTCTTATTTTGGGGTGATTTTTGCGGGTACCTGGTGTAAAATGTTGTAGTCATATGGAATAATGCTAAATATGACCCCACTTTCAATAAAATAGCGCTATTTTAACTATATTCTCACCCGCAAGCCAATTATCTGAGACTCAACCTTTTTTGTTTTTTGAAGACTATTTTAATAGTAATAATAAAAAGGCTCGTAAAAGGCTATCTATAGATTGATGCTTTCTACGCCCCTGATCACAAATCGTTATTTATTCCATACGAAAATATTAAAAATATCCGCCAAATTGCGAAAAAAATGTAATCTAAATTATCGTAAATGCAGAACACTCACCATTCACACGTCACCATGTAATTCATGTTGAATTCCATCGCATTTCGCGTGCAAAATTGACTAAACTAACAGCTTGTTTTCTTGTTATTTACGTACTATTTACAACTGCACAATCATATTCTATTAATATAAAAAGTGCCTTCAAAAGTGCAGCAATTTCGAGACAATTAAGGCAAAATTGTTTAAAAATTCAAACAAGCTTGGGTGCAGAAATCAGAAAAGTACCTAGCTTACAAGCCATTTTATCTACAAGAATACAATTTCAGTGATAATTACTTTTCTCACAGGTATGTACCTTCGCACAACTGAACATGGAAAGGGAACTCATAACAATAAAGTAAAGGGATGATCATTTGCCTTCATTTGTACATAGTCTAATTCTATACACGCTTTCAATAATTACGTCACACATACTTTTTGATCTTGGAACCTTGCTCTCATTAGTAAATTATGCAAGGTGATTGGTTCATGATTCATGAGAGCGAGGCTCCCAGGCCAAATAAGGTAATTATCGAAAGGATGGATTAATGTTGGGCTGTTGCTATAAAGTATACTTCAAAATAAGGTTGCGTTTTTATATCAATTTTTAAAATAGGTTAGTGTTAGGTTAGGGTTAGTGGTTGGGTTTAGTTTTGCGTTAGGATAGTTTTTTCTACGTTATAAAAGTATACTATCTACCAATCACCATTAAGGTTGTCCTTCCAAAAACCTTAAACTCTGAGCGCGCAGGGATGATGGACTTTTGCTTAGTTTGATTCATAAACTTTGAAATTCATTAGATTTATAAACTTTGAAATTTGCATGGCTTTGCAAGAATATCTAAGCAATATAGAATACTCACGACAGAAACATACTTGCTGCAAAAGCAAATTTTCTGAGTTGAAGGCACAGAATGTTTCAAGGGCTCTCTCCTCCGCAGAGGCTTTAGTTTTCTTTGGATTTAATATTACGATGAGTTTAAGGGACTGCTAGGTGAAAACTCATCATCCCCTGCGCGCTCAGAGTTTAAGGTTTTGGAAGGTCGACCTTAATTGGAATCCGCTGTACAATAATATACATATGTATATTATATTAAAATACAAAAGAAAAGAATGTTTAATTAATTGTTTGTAAATCAAAATACAGATTTGTCTTGATTTACATAAACTTCGATCCAGCTTTGATTTTCTCGGCTTAGAAAATGTTTATTTTTAAAATTACTTCGCCAATGAACTCAAATGATGGGTCGTTTTTTAAGCACCCGATCTTCTGCTCATGAGATTGGCTGCTCATGTTTTTTCTAGTACTTAATATATGAAAATATTGACTAAACATTTTGTTATTTTTCTATATTTGTAACAGCCATCTTGAAGCTAATGCTTTAGCACATGCCTTTCGTGGAAATAAACCGCAGTTGACGGGTATTCAGGATTCACAGATCAACCTTTGTTGCTGTGTTGAACATTACTTACAAATCACATGTACGTTGCCAATGAGAAAACTGTTTGCCGCCGTTGTATATGTTTCATAATTTGTCCACAAAATATTTACAAAATATTTTTATTAACATAAATAGAATCGAATAACTGCGCTATATAGGGACCTTTGGAAATCCTGCAATTGGAATTATAAGCCTCTAATTATAAATTTTAAAAGCTAATCTACAGAAGGGCAATTTGCAATCAAAAACAGAACCTATTTACATAGTATATAATTATAGTTCATATAGTCTTTTAGCCTACATATTAGTCATACTTGCGCTACATATTAGCTATATTTGCGCTACCTCGGATTGTAACGTGATAATCACCTAAAGCATTTTTTATTAAAAAAGGGCGGCAACCTGTTTTGTCGAAGTCGGTATTTTTTTTAAGGTGGGTCGATACAGTTTTCAAAAATTCAGGTGTTCAACACTTCGACATGTTGAAACTACGCATTTTTAGGATTTATTCAACAGATTTTGAAGTCTTTATATATTTTGATAACTCTACTTTCAAATTATATTAATTTTAGTAGCAGATTGTTTGTTGCTATGACGACATACGTGTACGAAATTCAGAATTTTTTTATTTTTTGTATAATGAAAGTTTTTAGTGGTGCAATACAGCATGCAAAATTTGAACATAGGGTCACCAGACAAAATAAAGAGATATAGCACATTGTTTTTCAAATGGAAAATTCTAATGACGTCAGCAATTGACATAAAACGCTATAGAACACGCGCAATGGCGTGATATGGCGAGAGCAATTGCTCACGTCAGGTCATTTTGGAAGTTCTTTCATTTTGCTAATCAGTTTCCGCGACCTGCGCGTAAAAATGGTCACCCGGTTTTGAGTTCGCGATTCTTGAGCAGAGTTCTTGTGATAACTATATCGAGCCACCTTAAGTGTGAAAAATGTGTATGTTTTACTTTTTTCAAAAAACCACCAATGAATTTATACTAAAATAATTATTTGTTGAAGGCGAGGTGAATTTCGGTGAATAATGTAATAGCCTAGCTGGGAGACATGCTCCTTGTGAGAGTTTTGGGGATCTGGTATCGAGGAAATTATAACGGAAAGATTAAAGTCAGTATACAGCCATATTGCATATTGTCGTATTTGCTAACTAGTATTTCAATCTATAAAATTATAAAGTTGACAGCAAGTATTTGGAAATTGGAACACAGTGGCGTAGGTTATCTAAGGTAAAGGTGAAAGAAAATATCTATCATTGCATTTCAAAAAGTGTTTCAGCATTCGTCGTGGCAAAGCATAAAACATATCCTTGTGCAAGATAACGTTTTCCACCAGATCTTTTCTTCCTAAAGGGCATGGCGCAGGATAGTTGTCTTGCACCCACAACAACATAACACATGAACAACCTTTCGGAAGCGGATGCCCATGAATACTTGGCAGATCAAGGATAGTGCCAATTGCCACAACATTCCCATTAGCGTACCAGGCAACAGCATCTATTAAATAATACAAAAATTTTTAATAATATAAAGTTCCAGTTTCTTAAGTACACTGAGAACTTTAATAGATTTCACGAACCAGTGATAAAAAAGACGGTATAGCTGCATGGAGAAAACACAAAAGAAAAAACAAAACACTTGAGTGCTTCACTAGTACCTGATGGCATATCGATAGACGAAGTTAAGGTTGTGGGTATAAGATCAGTTGATGAGAAGGACGACGAAGGAATGGTAGATACTGAAGTAGTGGTTGATGCTGGAGGAGGAATCATAGTAGTTGTTTGAGAAGGGAGGGTGGGTATCTTGGTAGAGATGCTGGATGTTGGAGAAGGAATGGTGGATATTGGAGAAGGAATGGTGGATGTTGGAGGAGGAATGGTGGATGTTGGAGGAGGAATGGTGGATGTTGGAGAAGGAATGGTGGATGTTGGAGGAGGAATGGTGGATACTGAAGGTGGAAAGACGGATGTTGGAGGATGAACGGTGGATGTTTGAGGATGAACGGTGGATGTTGGAGAAGGAATGGTGGATGTTGGAGGAGGAACAGTGGATGTCGGAGGAGGAATGGTGGATATTGGAGGAGGAACAGTGGATGTAGGAGGAGGAACGGTGGATATTGGAGGAAGAACAGTGGATGTTGGAGGAGGAACGGTGGATATTGGAGGAGGAACAGTGGATGTTGGAGGAACGGTGGACGTTGGGGGAGGAACGGTGGATATCGTAGGGAGAGAAGCGGTAGATACTGAAGGAGGGAAAGTTGATGAAGGTGGATCTGACTTGAATGTTTTCTTCTCTATCAAAATGAAAAGTAACAAGGTTATTGTAAATGGAAACATAAATATTAAAACAAAACAATAGAGAAAAATACAAAATGATATGCAATCTTGTTATAAAACCCAATCTTGTTATAAAACAAAACGTACCATTAATATACGAACGGAATACATCCAGAACAGCTTTTCCAGTGGGATACTGATTTTTTACCGTTCCAATAAAGCTCTGTGCCGACCCAGCAATCCCAAACGTCACAAAACTGTTACCCCTTACATGCTTGTAACTGGCCAAAACGACAATATCCCAATCATGATGACATTTTAGAATTTTTGCCTAAATGATTATTGATTAAACAGTATTAGTATAAACCTACTAGTAGGCTATCATGTATCGTGCGTTCTGCATGATTGGCTAAGCTACTAGTAGGCTATTAGTGATAGTCTACTAGTAGTCTAGTACTCTAGTAGCAACAAGCGGCGAAGAGCGCGAGAGTCAAGGGCCGTTTTTAAGTATTAAAAGCTGCATTTAAAGGGAAAAAGCTTATCAAAATGGCCTAGTTTTGGTTCTGGATTACACACAAACAAAGACTCTTGGAAACTGCTGACACATGCGGTAAAATTTTTACGTTTTCTCAACTTTGCTCGTTGTTTTGAGCATGAAAGTGACAGGCGATTTTTTAAAATATATGCACAATCATTATTTGTTAATATTCCAAGCAGAATTGTTGAAATTCAATAATACTTTGTAGCTATTTACACCTATTTTCTCAACCTATAGTGTGCGTTTGTTTTAAGTACGAGTTCATGTATTTAGCTGTCATTTTAAAGAGTTTTTTCGTATAAATGTTGAAATTTTAGCTAGCCGAGTTTGTTTTTCGCCTTTTTAAGTCGAGTTTTTCGAATAAATTTTAATCTAAACTATTGTCTATGTATACTAGATTATGGAAATGGTTTGCCTCTTTATGTTCCAGTTATTTTAAAGATTTCAACGATATTCGGATAATCGGATTATTTTGCATGTCTGTGCATTTTTATTCGGCTTTTTAACGTAAACTTTATTTACTAATTTAGTAACAATTCGCGGGAAGCCATTTTGTGTTCGAAATTTTGGACTTTTTAAGCCTTGTTTCCTTCTTTTAAATAAGTTTTAATTGACCAAACTTTGCTTCTATAACGGTCTCTTACTATTATATTGTTTTACGACACGTTTTTAACTTTTTTTAAACTCACAAGCTGCAGTATTTTTTAAGTTATTCTTGAGAGTTCGCAACACTGAGTAGTTGTCAACAAGGCCATTTAAACGCTCATTACGTTAAAACGTTATAATTTTACATAAAAATCAAGTGAAAAATCCCGCTTTCTTTATGTGGTTTACACTAAAACAATTTGAGACAACTCAGCCATGTTGTCTCTGAACGAATAGTCAACTCGGCTTCGCCTCGTTGACTATTCGCTTTTAGTATAAATTTCCAGGTGACTATTGATTTTTCTGCATTCTAATTGGTCAGGATTCACTGTCTCTGAAGTGATAGTCACTGGTCAGTGACTATAGCTTTTTTTTCAAAATGGCTGCTCGTTTTGCCGTGGTAGTAGAAGAGGAAATTGCCAAAATTAAAGAAGATAGCATTCTAAAAAAAAACAAACAAGCTGCAAAATATGGTTTAAAAATATTTCAAGGTAAAATATTTAACTTTACGTGCTTTTATTTGAAAAAAAAGGGCTTAGCCGCAACGCGACACAGAGCCGTGTCTGAGATTTAAATTTTGTAAACAAACTATTTATAGTGAAAATAAATTTATTTGAAGTGAATTTTTATAAAGTTGTGTGGATTATTGTTTGTAAACACCTGGAAATTTATACTAAAACAATTAGTCGCCTCAGGCTCGGTGATTACAAGCCTATATTCACTTCGCCTTCGGCTCAGTGAATATAGGCTTGTATTAATCACCTCGCCTTCGGCGACTAATTGTTAATTAGACAACTCGGCTTCGTTGTCTAATTGTTAAATATTAGACTATTATTACCGAGTCCTAAACTGCTAAAGATCAAATTTTATATGTTATGATATATAGAAGAAATCATAAGCATTGCCATAGCATAGAAATGAAAAAGCTAAATTTGCATTGTAGAAAAAAAAAAGAAAAAAGAGAGGCCCTTCATGGTAAAGCTATATTAAGAGTTACGGTTGACAGGTAAATCTGCTGTCATAAGTTCTTTACATGTTTGCATGGTGATAAAATATAATAGTTTTGTTTGTGGAAACACCATGTAAATTTATTACTGCAAAGCTTTCGATCCGTAAGCACATATTATTAGCACTGATGAAGATCCGGGCTTACGGATCGAAAGCTTTGCAGTAATAAATTTACGTGGTGTTTCCACAAACAAAACTATAATTACATCTGCTGTCATTATACAAACTAAAAAACTGCAGAAGTTCAAGAACACTATAAGGAACCTGACAGGACACCGGTGGGAGATTGAGACACAAGTCTGAAATCTAAACCCCCTAGAAATCTAGAACATGCACACACATAGTTTATCCCTCCTTCAGTATCCACTGTGGGTCTCCAGAGAAACGAACATATGACGTTTCTCATGGACAAAATCGATATGTGAGGCTTCCCTTAGCCGGAAATACATTTGCCATACAATATTAATCTTTTTTCTTTCTTGGGGGAATATTTTATGGTAACTGAAAACATCATCTCATCTGATTAGCTAAATGATCATGTTGTTGACGATGAAAGCTCAGGTATCTAATAGGTCATAATTAAAGACCTTTTTAAAGTGTTTTAAAAATGTAGTTTCAACAGCCGCAGCTTTGACCTCATTCGAACCCACCTCGAACACATTTATTTCAATATGCTGGACAACTTTACACGCCTGAAAACATTTTCTGGGACCTGTGGGCCGATACATTTTCCACCTCTGATAACTGGAGTTCTGAATTCCAGTCTAGCCTCGTTTCACTGAAACTGGACATTTTACTGTATCTGAAGCAGTCAAGGGCTGAAACTTTATTTAAAAATAATCAAGGATGGTTATTATTTAAACGAACTGACCATGTTCAATATACGTGTTAATACAAAATTTTTGAAATTGCCCATATAAGTGTTAATACAAGTTTCATATTTTAATTTTAATATTTCTTCAATACCATGCTGCCCAAGATTTTTGGTCAATTCAAAACCCTTGTTTTTAGTCTTACATGGTTCAAAAATCTTTATTTCAATCACAATCACACTGCTGTCATTTCTGATGAATTTAATTTTTTTTTTTTGGGGGGGGGGGTGCAAATCTCTCCAATAATAAACAAATAATCATGCAATATGTTTGTGATGTTACTCTGAGTGCATATCCACACCGGGCGAGCTTGAAAAATATGCCCGGCCACGGTGGGATTCGAACCTACGACCTTTGGAATACTAGCCCAATGCTCTTCCAACTGAGCTACGCGGTCAGGACGGTTCGAGTAGGTGATATTTCGGAACAGTATCTAGTTCCTTCAATACCAATGTGTTCTTGTAATATGAATTTTTTCTGTGCTGGTGTTGTGTACTCAGGTGAATAATATGTTATATTACATATGTTATATTACATATTATTCACCTGAGTACACAACACCAGCACAGAAAAAATTCATATTACAAGAACACATTGGTATTGAAGGAACTAGATACTGTTCCGAAATATCACCTACTCGAACCGTCCTGACCACGTAGCTCAGTTGGAAGAGCATTGGGCTAGTATTCCAAAGGTCGTAGGTTCGAATCCCACCATGGCCGGGCATATTTTTCAAGCTCGCCCGGTGTGGATATGCACTCAGAGTAACATCACAAACATATTATTCACCTGAGTACACAACACCAGCACAGAAAAAAAAAAATCATGCAATGTTGCTCGTACAATTAGGGATTAATAATACTCGTGATGTTTGGAAATTTGCCAAATTGGACTCGCCCCGGCGGCTCATCCAATTTTGGCAAAATTTCCAAACATCACTCATATTATTAATCCCTAATTGTACTCGCCATTGCATGATTACCTATACTAATTCTTTTAATCTTACTGTATGATGCAATGTAAGTGTCCAATATGACACACATGGCTGGTGTATTTTTAACCCATTAGGTGGCAATGTGCCAAGATGTGCCCTACTTTATTATTTTACTCTGCCTAATGCCAGACGAGTTTACTCATCAGTTGTAAAGTACTGCCAGAAAATATGTAAACAAAACTATCTGCCAGTGTCTTATGTTAACCCATTAGGTGGCAATGCACACTGCTTTAGTATTTTACTCTGTCTAACTTAAAGCAATTTACAGTGGTAAGGTACTACCAGTAAATCACACAGGATTTTTGTTTCCCAACAATTATATTTTTGTGTTACTACTATTACAATTTTAAAAAGCAACAACTTAGTATACTTTGCACAAAAATTCTTAATATAATTTAGTAATTCATGTTATTCATTTTTTCCTGTAATTTTTCTCACCAAGGAAGTGAGCACACTTTTTAGAATGATTGTCTGCAATCAAATAATCACTCACAATAGGTGCAAATGAGAAAAACAAAAGATAACTGGCATGATAAATCCATAGTATATTAGTATATGTGGTAGGTAATTTTAAAAATTGGTCTGGGTTCAATATAACATTTATACATTTAATATAACATTTGGCTGTTTTATTAAGATAACTTTAAAGCTAATATTTATAGTTAGTACCATAATATTTTTAAATGAAAAAAATTAAAAATAGTCAGCAAGGTGGTAAAATTGCCAGCTACAGTATTTGCAGTATCTCTGCAATTCACCAATCACCAATCCATGATGACAGGTATTATTTCTAAATTTACTTCAATGCCTGCTTATCTTGTGAGCTGATCTGAATCTTACAGACCCCATGTCTATTATTATATGTGGCCTCAGTAGTCTTACTGGAGAATCTACATAAGTTAATATTATCTAATTTCCCATTTGCCATATAACCATACTCCAATAGTAAAAAACACCTAGCCTGACAAATTTCAAACTGTCTACAGGACTGTCAAACACTCATTAGTAATTCATAAGCTCATTGGCAAATCATTTCAACCATAATATGTCATGTGCAGTGGCTTTAAACCTGATAAAACACTCCTAATTAGTATTCTTTATATAAAGAATACTAATAAGCAGTATATCTATTGAATTTGTAGTTGTGTTTGTGTTTGAAGCTGTTTAATAAACTCGCAGCTCGTGTTTAATATTAGGTCTAAAGTCACTTGCTTTAAACCTAATAAAATATATATCATATATCATATATATGTCAATGCAAATACACCACAGGATATATTTTACTCAGCACATGTATAACACCAGACGATTTTACTTTCCAAGGAAAGGAAGCTTGCATGGTAATGTGTTAAACTTTAAAGCAGTAATAATTCGGCCAGACTTCATTCGTTCACAGAAACAAGGTTTAATTAATATCAGATATGTTTCAGTTCCCTACTCCAGGACAAGTTAAATAGAGTGTATGGCAGGGTCTTGGGTGATGGCGTAATTGTATCATTGCTTCATCTTATACAATTGTGCATACACCAACAGACCTTGGCTATGTTTGCACACTATATCCTGATTAACTACCTACATTATCATATTAATGCACAAGTCAATTTCTGGAGTAACCATCACTCCCCCCCCCCCCTGGGACACCTCCAGGAATTTGCCTGATAGACAGTTCACAGGGGTCGGGAATTTGCCTTTCATATATGTGCACGGGGGCCAGGGGTTGTATTTTGAGCCCTCGTGGTCAAGGTGAAAATTATTGTCAGAATAAGCGAAAATTATAACCTGTGCCATGCAAATTTAAATACAACTATTAAAGGTTTATGATTTCATTGTTTAAATACTTTTAACTACTCTTAGCAAGATTCAAGTTTATATTAAGTTTTATAATATTCCATACCAGTTTTATACTACAGTATAATGTTTATTAAATGACTATATGCTATTATATGCCATTAAAAGTTTAATTAACGTTTAAAATGGTCCCTGGGGTAGGGCATTTTCCACTCTCAGCTTGCCCAAGGGCTGTGCATTAGTCTTCAAGTTCTGTCCCGGTACCCAGGCATTTGCACTATCGTAACCAATCAAATCAAATGCCCAGGTGTGTTCCCGGGGGGGGGGGGGGGGGGG